TGACATCCTCGACGTTCATATACTTTTGTGCCCTTGAAGCAGCTCGGGCATGCTGGATGGTGGCTTCTTGAGAACGGAGAACATGAAACTAGAGGTGCGAAGGCCAGCGATAAAGGCAGTCAAGGCTACCTTGTCATCTGGCTCCTTTATCTGGAGAGCCTCCTCGTTGAAGCAGGCAAGGTAGTCTCTGAGGCTTTCATCCCCGTCTTGCTTGATGGTGAGCAGGTGGGTCACGGGTTTTTGATGTCGACATCCCCCAATGAAGTGAGAGACGAAGGATCTACTCAACTCTGCAAAGGAGTGAATTGAGGGTTTGATCTTTGCAAAACATTAGTGTGCAGACCCTTTTAGGGTGGTAGGGAAGGCTCTACACATAATCTCCTCAAACACGTTGTGTAGTTGCATGAGGGATTTGAAGGTGTCCAGGTGGTCAAAGGGGTCTTTGGTACCGTCGAAGATCTCGATGGTAGGCATCTTAAACTTCGAGGATAAGGGATAATTGACTATGTCAACAACAAAAGGTGTGTCAGTGCGTCTTACCAGGTAGTCTACTATCTCGGGCGCCTGTGCTTTGATGGCGTTAAGGGCATCACCGAGCTGATTTTGCACCTCTCTAATCTTTTTGTCCCACTGATTGGGGATATCCTCTGTCGGGTGGTGGTACTAGCTTTAATGATCTCCATGTTGGCTTCCTCCGTCTTCATTCTTCTGCGCAGGTACGTGTGGAAGGGGTATGCAAAAGCTCCCTACGCGCTGAGGAGGAACTGTCGGGCGAAGGACACCCTGGCATAGTCCTAGAGTAATCTGGCGAGGGCCCCCATGGTAGGGGACTGTCTGGCACCCATAAGGGATAGGTTGTTGCTCCTTTCCCATTGGAGGGAGTGAGACTCCTCCCATAGGGTGAAGCCCCCTTAGGCGAGTATCAGCTGGATGATCTGCTGATTTTGGTTCACCTGCAGCTGCATGGTTTGGAGAAGTTGTTGTCCGACAATGGGGGTCGCTATAGCAAATGGTTCTACAAGAGCGAGGGGAGGTAGAGCTTCCTCCTGGTGGGTCGGGTTGTTGTCTCCTGGCTATTGACTCATGGATCTTGTAGTGATCGCCATGGATTAAAAGAGTAGGAAAAACTAGTTGATTCTTACAGACAGCGCCAAATTGATGATGTACAAATCGGTCTGTGGCAAAATCAACAATCGAGTATATCAAGAGATACAATTAATGAGCAGTAAATAGACAATCAATAGCAAAATAGTAAATAATGAGTCAACACAAAGATATATAGTGGTTCCATTCGGATAACCTACTCCACTCTCGAGAACGACAGCGGTGGCCTGGGTCTTTTATTAATGAATGAAGTCGCCGGAGAGAGTATTCTCCACGAGTATTACAATGCTTAGAGGGGAAGAGAGAAAGCAATGTATGTAGGAAGGTGTAGTATATGTAGGGATCTCAAGGTCATAAAGGCATGCCCTCTATGTGTAGAGGACTTACATTATATAGATTCATCAAGGCGGTGACATGCGAAAGGGGGTTTCTCTCATTTTGGTAAGTACAATCTTGGTAGGATTGGATCTCTGTATCCTGATATTCCCTCGTTCGTGTCCCTATTCCGTCGGAGGATGATCCTGAGCTGGGTAAATCTTGATCTTGAACTTAGACTTGGAGTGGGATGGACTTGGACTTGGACTTGCATTGGAGTGAAGAAGGGAGGAGAGGAACAGAAGGGCAGGCCATGGGCGACGCCCACTTGGGCCCCTTGGGCGGCGCCCTCCTTTGGGGATCCTTGACGTTGGCCTCTTGATGTCCTTTGGATTTCCTCCTGATGGGTCGACCCAGCTTCAATTGGGTTCTTCTTTGGACTTTCTTGGTTTAATTAAATTGAGCTTGGACTAGTCTAATTCCGGCTCATCAACATGTATTAAAAAAAGGTCATTAATAGTTTGGTCCTTGTAAACCAAGGACACAGGGAAATGTGAACTGTGAATATTCCTAATCTCTCACAGTATAATGCACAAAGTGGTTGCCCTTATATTTGAATCCACATACTTCCGATTGCCAACATGAGGATTTCACCACTACACTAGGTAATGACCCAACTAGTTAACATGCATAGGCACCCAAATGTGCAAGTAAAGTGAGTGTACAGAATGAGAGAGACCCTTATATTAAGTCATACTCATTTTTTCAAACAGAATGCTGCTACTTCGTTTTTTCTTCACATCCCACTATTGGTAACTAATGACATCCACCAGAGGTATCGGTATACAGAATCTTAAATTTCATATAGTGGTAAAACTGTTAGTCCACAGGGTAATGATGCTTAAAATCAAGAGCCCACCTTTGAAAACTAGATAAAAGGTAAAATGTTCATAAAAGGCACCGACAACTGAATTGTTTAATGTTAGAAAGTACAACATGGACAGAGAAAGAAAGAGTTCCTCCCCCCCCCCCTCCCCCAAAAAAAAAAAACACACACACGCACACAAAAAAGAAAAAAAAGGATGAAATGGGTTTTTGTGATTTATCTTCTATACATAGGCTTAAACACAGAAGAACAACACAAGGTATAACCGGAGCATAGAACCCATGACTTTCCTAGTTTACTTCACCAATTGTTCTTTATTTGATCAATTTACAATGAAAAGGCACATACAAGGAGCCATTCATACAAATATACAAGCTCCTTAGCAATACATATAGTGATAGATGGCAGCACATGCAGAGAACAGAGGAACTTAAAGAAGAGTATAGAATCAATCTCAAAATAACCTTGTATTTTGAGATGATTAAAACAGAATTCCTACACATTTCAAACGTATTTAACATTTCAGTGTTTGTAGTGATAACTGCAATGTTCATATATCACAAAGAGAAGGTGAAAATCAAAGCAACAAGTAAATAGATAATCATTAACAAATCCCAGAAACATAAAAACCAAAAAATTCAGTCAAACTTACCACCAAACAATCCAAGTAACATAACTTTCAATGCTCAGAGCATAAAATCTGAACTTCACCCATTCATAACTAAAGCAAGCAAGTATAAAATACAAAAAAAAAAAAAAAAAAGAATATACCAGGTTAAATAGATCTTCAGCACGGTCAGACATCGCTTTGCCTCGAACAATTAGATGGCTGGATGGATGCTCCTTGCCACGCACTGAAGAAGTGGACGGATATACTGAAATTCCTCCAGTTTTCCTTCCAATCAACTGATTGAGTTGTACAAAATCCATATCTTTTGTACCCATCTCCAGCAATGATTGGCTGTTAAGCAATTTGGTTGCAGTTTAAATCTTTGATGTTTAATGCACAGTTCATATTCTTTAAGCCACATGCATTCGTTAACACAACTAAGCTAGCTGCCTCATACCGCGTCAAAACAGTCTTTAACCCCTTCTTTTCCCTTTTTGTTTAGTAAAACATCCTGGATTTTTTTGTTTCAAATTGTTTGCTCGTGCTAGGAAGATTGGCAAGGGATACTGTTATCCTAGCTTACAAACAGAATGACAGAAATGTCCCAGATCAAAAATACCTCAACAAGCTGTATATGGAAAAGCAAGGGATTCAACAAATCATAAAATGATTATAGAAAACAATAGTAAGGACAGCTGTGCCTCATAGCCCTAAACGTCGGGTGGTCAAGAATGGCAATGCCCAGAAATGAACACAACAGAATTGACCATCTGAGATGAGTAACAAGTAACAACTAACGCAATTTTGTGAATCAGAGGTAGCATCTACTAAGAACAAGACCAAGAATAGTTGGCTATGAGGTTGCCTCCAGCACAATAAAAACTAATGACATTGCAAGCAAGGAGTGATTTAGTTTAAGCCGATAGTCAGTGGAGTTTCTTTCCAACCGTTAGAATCTCAGGAACACGAGGACCAACAATCAGATAAAAGATATGTCTCTGAAATGAGCTGAATGGTTATAAAGGATACATTATTCTGACCACAAATGGAAAGGTTACGGTTTCATTCAGTGTAGTTATTATTAAACCACAGCCTATAATTTATTTATACTTGTTCTTTTCCCTCACTATACCATAACCGGTATCTTATGTATCTTTTGCAAAAGTGGATTGTACAAATAAAATTATGCAAAAACTGGGCAAACAAACTTACAAAATACTAACATAGCCTATATCTTATTTATCATTTGCAAAAGTGGGCTGCACAAAAAAAAATAATGAAAAAACTGGGAAAATAAATTGCAAAATAGCTAATGAAGGTACAATCTCACCAAAAGAGTGGTACCAAAGGAAGAAGTTCTTGCTTCAATGAACTCATATCAAACACAACTTCAGAATACAGAACATCATTTGTGAAGAGGTCATGCCGCAAAACCTTTATCCCATTGATATCACCAACCTACATCCATAGAACATGAGTTTAGTAAAGTCATCCAATCCAGAACAGTAGATTTGGTAGTAGGACACTCAAACACAAGATAATATGATAATGATTACCTCAATGGGAACATATATAGGTTTTTTAGGAATGTCTTGCAGAGAGAGGCTTGGAACACTTTTTAGGGCTTCTGGTGGGTCAGGAGTTTCCTGTTTCAACTTTAACTCATGAGTAGCACGTGCCAGCTCAGCAAGATCTTCTTCAGTCATACTTGCTTTAACTTTATCCAGAACTTCTCTCTCAACAGCTTCATCAGTAGTAGCCTTCTCTGGATCAGGCTGACAAGAAAATAACTGTAAGTAATTGATACTAAAACAGAGGTATCATGTTGACATAAGAAAGTTTCTGCAGGTGAAAAAGCTCACCTGCATTTCAATGGTTACACGGTGAGGATTATTGAGGATGAAGTTCTCTATTAAAGGAGCAAAAACAGCTTTGGAGCCTTCCTCCGCTATTCTGGCTTTCAGAGTCATCAGTGGTCTTTGATATTTCAATGGTTCAAATGGATCCATATCATATACCCATTTCCCCTATATCACAGAAATGTAATTAGAATGTATTTCCTATTTAAGAACGGATAAAAAGGACACCCAGTTTGGACAAAGACGATGACGACAATGACAAGTATTTCTTACGATGGAGCGAAGCATCAGGGCTAAACCACGAGGGAATGACCCAGTATTGTTTTCTCGGAGAGAGAACTCAATGGTATTCATTGATGCCTCTACAGCATTTGAATCAAAACCTTCCTCTGCCAACTTTTTCAGTGTATTCATGACTAATTCTTCTACCTTTTGAATGTTTTCTTCAGAAACATTCTTCAAACCAATGCTAAACTGGGGCTGAAGGAGCTCATCCTCAATCCCGCCCCCAACAATGGCATCTCCCAAACCACTTTCCAGCAGGATTTTCCTCAAGGGAGAAGCAGGAGTTCCCAACATTAAATGATCCAAAAACCCCAAAGCAAGCTCAGTTTCCAAGTCTAGTGGCTTATCAGATAGCAACCAATTGAGGCACACCATGTGCTTCTTTTTCAAGTCACCACCTTCAGCAGCAGGATATTTCTCAACAATCTTGACTGGTTCAGAAAATAGTTTCTGGTGTTCAACTCTTGATTCATTGGGAGCTGAGCTTGCATCAAACATATCTAGATATTCTGTATGATAAATTAAAAAAGGAAAGCCATGAGAAGCTACAACTTAAAATGAAGCTGCCTAGACTACTAAATGTACTGCCATCACTAGGCCAATAAATAAAGCTAACGTGCATCTAAACCATTAATATTTAATTCAGATAAGTGTAACAACCAGTTGATTTTTCTTAATTTTACGTACTACTGACTCGAATGCAGTTCAATAGTTTCACAGCTCAACCTCTTGGATAAAAAAAGAGAGAGAGCGTGAGACTCCCGTCATTGCAGGATCTAGGGAGGATCAATTGATACAAACAAACATATCCTGCATGCGTACTGGTTCCTTTGCTAAAACCAGTGATGCTAGGGCCAACCTCTTGTTCATAATGTCAAAAATAAATCATAATTTTGACAAGTAAAAAGAAACAATCCAATCTAAAGGAAAATGAATAGCATTCTAATGCAATTAAGAGAGAGAGAGAGAGAGAACAGAAACCCACCGACTTATGGATTGTAATAAAGTCTATGGCCTTAATATCCACAGTACTTTATGTACTAAAAGAATTTTCAAAACCACCAAAATATGTTGGGACAATGCTTTATTGAGATGGGTAGTTGAGTTGAGCCGTAAGAATTTCAAAGACCTACCTTAAACAAATCCTATTCAGGTGACAGATTATTATTGTCCAGCCTAGCCAGGTTTCAAAAACATTCCTGTTATGTTGCCGTTCATTTCAATTGCAAAATTCCTTTCTAGATATGATTATGATGTTTAAATAGGTGACGGTTAGTGGCTCAACTGGTCAATCCAGTCATGTTATCAACTGATATTTGCATATTCACATCTGCTGCAACATTCTAAATTGTACGCATACAAATCTATCGTGCAAATACATTATATGCAATATAGTTAAATCAATGAAAAAAAGTACCACTCAAGATGCGCAGGCGCTCATTTGGATCATCATCTCCATAAAACCATATCCTGGCATTACTGGGATGGTAATATTTACGGTGGAACTCCTGTAAATTTCAATTTAACAAAAAGAACAAGAGCACCACATGAAGTCAAAACGATGATCAACGCAACATAGAGGTATGTGCACCACGTATTCCTCCCTTATGCTGCAAAGGCATAATTACCGTAACTAAATAAATTAGGATTGCTCATAAATATGAACACACACAAAAAAACAGATTTTGTTGTAACACTAGGTATGATGCCCACAGATTCAGTCTGCTCATGTATTTAATCTAATTTGGTGCAGTTTTGAGCTTTTTATTTTTTTTTCTTACATATTTTTTTTTTGGGGGGGAGGGCCTTGAACCCTTGACCTTAAGAAGTTTCAATTCACGATTAAAACTCCATTGAACAAGCAGGACCCACTTTGCCTTCACTCGCTCAACAGTAAAACTCCACAACAAAGGCCGAGAACAACCTAAGTTATTGTTCTCCGGTACAATTCACAGAAACCAAAACGTTCAAGCACCAAAATTTTACCCGATTGTACGCCCCTTTACAAACTTTTGAATTACTTTCCGCTAACCTTTTAGCCACAAAAAAACAGAGAAGATAACATTGCTTTGAAATCATCTGTTTACTACATATTTATCTGAAGATTCACCAAGGGAATATCAGTATAAAAAATGAGAAAACTAATGTCAGCTTGGAGTTACCAAAAACTTCTTCAATTTTCAGTTCAGAACCTAGATTCTGACAAGATTTGCCCAATATACGTGATCCGTATATTGGATGGTATAGAACACCAAATACCTTTAAGATACTACGAATTACACTTGTGCTTGCACGCATAATTTCGTATTTACTCAAGCACAGATATTTATCAGAGTAGAAGTCATTATTTTAGATGCGCATATGTAGCTGGAAGATAACATGCTCACATCATCAACACAACAAAAGATTGATATATTATAAATACTATACTCCCATATGATAGGTGTATGTAGGACTATTCCATGCAGCCTTACATAGATTTTTATCTACAATTTTTAATCATCAAAGCAAACATCTTATGAAGGAAGACCGGCTAAACCCTATCACCCAGTGTCTCAAAGCTTCTAGATAAATAAAGACGCTGTGAATTGTATTTTCATTTACATATAAATTTTTATTTTTTTTGGCTTGCATTATTATACAGCAACACGAAAACAAAATGATACTTGGAACAAACCTTGAATTCCTCAAAAGTGAGCTTGGGAATAACTTGTGGATCACCTCCACTATCAACACCATAAGTATTGTCTGGAAAAAGAGCCTGGACAAAATATAGTGAAGCAGTGAGGAATATAAGTGCTTAAGTCAATCTGCTACGAATTAAATAGTAACCATTTTAGTAGCAGTGTATCCCATATTCATTTGCATACTCAAATTGCATTCAGCATCAAGGATGCCATACAGTTTTCCAACTCCTTACAAGAATGCAATCAAAATAGCCCAAAATAATTAAGCACACACAACAATAAGAAGTGGTTCAAGGATGAGCATGGCATGGAACAAATTGCCTATGTACAAATGTTGCATAAGTGTAGGCTTGCGTTTTGTTATTTATTATAAGTAGCTTGAGAAAATATTGCACGAAGCATGGTGTGGAGTTACCACTCAACCAGGCAAAAATCTGGCCATTACCTTGGACTCTCTTTAAGAATAACAGAGGAAATGTAAAATCCAAAGAATCCAAAAGATATATTACATGAAACCACCCTAGTCCCACAAAAAAGATATAGAAAGAAAATAAATACATTTCAAAGAATGAACTTTCCTATTTTGGAGTTATGATAATGAAAAATAAAGAGATTATAGCAAACAAAGAGATTGGAAAGCTACTTTGGACCAATGAATAATCAAAAAGGAAAAATAATACAAAAGAAATAAGCTACAAAAACCAATCTAATTTCCCAATATAAAACCAGAGTTTATTGGATAGTGTTTGAAAGTTTTGCCCAAGTATTATTAAAATGATGTTATGAACAACGAGAAGCACTTACTTTTCGAAAAAACAATGTGAAGCACTTGCCTGTTGAGAGGTTCGACCTAATATGTTATCAGGCTGGGAGTAAACACCTTTCATCTCATTGAAAACAACACCTGATATTGTCCCCAAAAACTATTAGAAAGAAATGACACATGAGTTATGTGATCAGGGTGCTGTTGCATCTTTTCAGACCAGAAAATACTTCAATGCTACTGGCAGAAGAACTTAAAGCTCGGTAGGCAAATTGACAAGTAAGCCAAAAAATAAATAAATAAAAGAACAAGGACAAAGAGAAAAAATTCAAAAACAACCTTTATAAGTTATATCCTCTGAAGGGTCATTCAGTTCATAATGCCACCCCTCTTGTTGAAAAGTCTGGAAGTCCTCCACGCATTTAGGGAAGAAGACGGCATCCAAGTACACATCGACCAAGTTATAGAAATCCTGTCAGCACAATAATAAGTACACGTCAATTTAAAATATATTCAAGGGAGACCTCATCTATTCTTTGATTCCAGAACCTTAAGCAAATGTTAAACCTTCATATTTGTGGAAGCAACAGGATAGCAAGTCCTATCAGGATATGTGAATGCATTTAAAAAGGTGTGCAAGCTCCCTTTCAATAGTTCAACAAATGGTTCTTTCAGTGGATACTTTCTCGAACCACACAAAACGCTGTGTTCCAATATGTGAGGAATTCCAGTGGAATCTTTCCTGCAAAACATTAGAACAAAATGATAATATCTTGACCGACCATATTTGTCAAAAATATATCTTTGCCAAACAGAAATCCAACACAGAGATTGATTAGTACCAGCACAACAGATCGAATTTGGTAAAGTGCAAAATAATTAATAAGCCATTTTATTGTCCCTTGAAACACCTTCAATTTTTCTAGTCGATACAAATTTTTTCCATGTATAACACTAGCATTCACTGCAGGATATGACTAGGAGGTTCAGAGTTCAAATTAACAAACTAACATAATGTTATTGAGTTTTTAGTTTAACTCATAACCAGGGAAATGCACATGAACCACAACCCACAAATACAATACAGCTTTATAACATCATTCCCTTTTCTTAATCCTCTTGTTAGCATCATAACCAGTGAGAATGAAGAGGTTGAGCAAGGGAGATTTTCTTGCTTGCTCTTAGGGCTTATGGTCAAATCTATTACGTTCTAAGGTATTCCCATTCATTAGTAATGCAAGGATAGACCTTAACTAAATGGGAAGGAGAACAGATGGCGAAATCTGTTGTTGAAGAATGTTCCCTTTTAGATATCCATGTTCCCTTTAAAACCCCACAGTTTTACCAATGACAAACATATTGCATGGACATAATATTCTATATCTTTTTCCCATACATAGATGATTAGATATTTTCCTAAAGAAGTCATACAGCCAACTGAAGTCTTTACAGTTTTCAGTAAGCAACCCAGAGCAGGAACGGTTGCTTCTATCAATCCGATCTTCCATACTTCCGCCAACTTCAATCAGAGTATATAATTAACACTTACCCAGTTGTTATAACAACATATGAAATTTGAATTTTTTTTGCTACAAGGGATTTGTCCAAAACTTGCATTGCCATAGAAACTGTCATCAAGTTTTAAGGAATACCTCTTCTTTAAGTTCCTTTAAAAAAAACACTTAAATCTACTACAGAAGCAAATTTCAATAAGTTAAGGAAATAAATACATATAAGAAGAACCACAAAGATTATAAGAAATCAAATTATAAATAAATACTTACGGAGGAGTTCGAAGAACAATGCCAAAGACTTTGTTTTCGTCCTCATTCGATACCGACATGACTTCGGCACCGGTCTTTTTATGCTTATACAAAACAGCTCTCGATTTACACTCCTCAATGAACTGCTCCGAAACTTTGTCGAACCCAAACTTCTCAGCAACATCATCATGAGCCCCAAGAACATCTAAAACAAACAAAAACAGCAAAATTAATCGCTCAAAATCGAATAAAAACTGAGTAGTTTGACAGAATTGGTAAAGACGAAATTAATCAAAATTGGGTAATTTGAAAGAATTAGGGAAAAGACGACAGAGCTGAGTACCGGGAGAGGATTGTGGCGAAGAGGTGGCAATAGCTCGAGTGGATAGAGCGCAGAAGTGTCCTTTCAGGTAGATTGAAGGCGGCGATGCGGTGGAGATGAGTCTCACATGGTTGCGAAAAAGAGAGCGTCTTTGGAGGTTGGACAGTAAACGGTGCCGTTTGGAAGAGAGGGAAGCAAGTCGGTGAGAAGAGCGAGAAAAGAATCGAGAACAAGAGAGTGTGGTTGTAGTGGAAAGAGAACGAAGAAAAACGGCTCTCTCCATTGTTGAGATATAGAGAGAGAAAGTTGCTGTGACTGTGTTGAAGATGAGTGAGAGAGAGAGTTTTGGGGTTTTATGATTGGGAGGGAAATATCAAGAAGCAACGGGTAGGGGAAATGGGACTTTAAAGTGGCTTGGAGAACAAGAAGTCTTGTTACTGACTGTGCCCCAAAAAGACGAAATTACGTGGAGGGAAATTCTATGGTGTACCATTTGCCATTTAGCCAGTTTTTCCTCCTTAAGCTTTTATCCATTTTTTGTATATTCTCACTATTTTCTTTTATTTCTTTCTTTTTTTCTCTTTTTTTAAAATAGATAGTCAAGCATAAAATAGATTAGCAATGTAGAGTGTTGTATAATGTTCATCTTTTGTGTCTAAGTCGTGAAGTGAGAAATTTTATTTAATTTATAACTGATTCGCTTATAATTATTTATAATCAAATGTATCTTATATATAACTAAAATTTTTTTAATTTGGATATTGAATAGGTTTGACGGACCAACTTTCCTGTAAAACTCAACTCCATAATTAAGATTAAGTTTTTATTTGAAAATGTAGTTTTGATTTTCTTATGAGAAAGATAAATCATGTCAAAAATATATTTATCGTAATCTAAATTTGACATATTTATTACATTAACCAATTAAAACACAAATTTGGATTTTGTTGTTGGTGTCACCACCGCATGAAACAAGGCAGCCATTTTTTTATTTTATTTTTTTGTTGCTGCATAGTCTTCTGACTCAAGTCAACTACTCTCTCGACCTCAGCATATGGTCACCGTATCTTGAATTGGATTAGAGTATGTTCCTAAAATGATAAAAGTGGCTAGCTTTAGGGGGTATAAAAAGAGATAGAATCTGAGATTTCTAAGTTACTAAAAGACTAAACTCAACTACTTAATCACTCTTTTTTTTTTGTTCAACGGTTAGAGGTTTTGAGTTAACTTACACACACATTGACTAATCTCCTCTCCGGTCTGATCAACCACTAAAAAGTTTTCATCCATGGTTAATAACACATTGTTTCTATATAAAACTTGAGGGAATATATTGAACAGGATTTAAATCCAAAAGATTATAGGTGATGGCTAGTTGGATTTTTGCACTATTAAACTTGATGTACTAAGCCAATATGATGATTCCATAATTAACTTGAGTTTTAAGATTTCAAAAATTACCATTATTTTGTTGCTAGCTTAGCTCGCTAAAACCAATTTATATATGCTTTTGAGCAAATAAACTGAAGTTCGACTTTGCAATGCAAGATAGATTTGTCTAAAGAGTAGGAGTAAATACTAGTTACAATGATATTACATTATTAATATTACGTGATATTACATTACAAAATTGATAAAATAGACCCTATATATATATTTTTTTTGTTTTTAACGTGAGGTGCTTATCAAATGACATGGAGTAGTGATAAATATGTGTGATCCATTTTTTTTTTGTTCAACAATCAGAGGTATCTAGGTCAGTTTATATGTATTTTAATTAATTTCTTCCTGAGTTCGATCAAAGGCAGACCATCAATGTCGGAACTAGGATATTCATAATTTTCATAGCCTCACCCAAAGGGTTGTCATAATTTGAACTCATGACGTCTAGATTGACAGCTCGTCCTGTTATCACTTGAATCATCGCTTAGGATTGGTTCCACTTTTTTACTTATTATGTTCTTATTGAATACTGACACCAGGTTGTGACGCTAATTTAATCTAAGTTCAGAACTTTCAACTAATCTCACGGCTGTATTTAATTAGATCCTTATAACATTGTTTATATTTTGTTCATAGCAATGCTATAGAGACATAATCAGAGATTTAATTTAATGTAATTGTTATATTAATTATGAATTTTAATATTAGATGAAGCCCTCTTCTAATTCAAGGTTCACAAAATCAAATATAATGCTCGTACAACTATTTATATATATTTATCTGTGGAAGAGACTCCTCCCTAGAAATATGCTGGATCAAGATACCCGGCTAAAAAATGACATAATTTAAACCTTTTGCAAGCCCTATCCCTTATAGAGAGAAGAGTTAGACTCACCTGATCTACGCTCATCCATAGGAGGAACAGAAGTTCTCAAATTAGATCTAGTAACATTTTATTTCCTCCAAGACTAACCATAACAGTCTTCAGTAACCCCTACTGGTTGGCCCGAAAAGCCTGGTGGTCTATCGGAGCATGGACTTAGTCCACCGGCCACGATAGGCCATTGATTGACATTTGGGCTTGGAATGTAGGGTCATGGGCTTCTTTTTAGCCCATCCCAACCTAACTGATAGATAATCTAAAAAACTGGGAAAAAATATATTCGTATAAATTATGAGTGTTGACACGATTCGTTAACACGAGACGATACAAGACAAAATTAGAGGGTTTGAATCTTACTTAAACTATATGTTTAGTGAAAGAGTGGACCGATCTGACACATTTTCACAAACAAATCGGGTATAAATGAAATTAATAAAAAAAAAAAATTACATGACAGATTTGTTTATACACCAATTATGTCATTCATATATGATACGAATTTCGATACGATATAATTCATTAAACATAAATTAAAAAATGAATTAAATATAAGTAGAGTATTTTTTGACATATACTCACTAGGACACACGTTGATAGGCCTGGTATAAATCCAATAGATACATGACAAAATTTCAGGACTTTGTATTGGGTAAGGGATTATGATTTAATGATAAAGTTTCAAAAATAATGATTTAACCCCAAAATTTTAGAAATTTTTTATAAACTGCCCAGATTAATTTCATACTCTATTAGTTCACATTAAAAATATTATTTATATGTAAAGGATATATAAAATATATATTAATGGATAGGAAGTATAAAAATTAAATATAGGATCGCGAAATGACAAAGTTAGGAATAGAGATTAATCGTTATATATTACTTTGAATTATGTAGTGATTGCATTGAGGTTGAAAAATAGGGGTTTGAATTGAATTTTGAGAATTAAGGTGAGTAATTTACTACTTCTTTTAAGAGGATTTTTTATATTCAATGTGTGGATGCGTGCGTGAAGATTTTTCATATATATGATATATGTGTTGATGTTTGAGGTTGCAATTAAATATTTTAAAATTGTAAATTGTTCTACATGTGAATTTTAAAAAACTTGTGGGATGATTTTATATCATTACTTTGATGATGGAAGAAAAATTTTGTACGTGTTAAGACTAAAACTACAGTTTTTGTATGTTTGAAAATCATGTTTATGAGACGTAGACTGAGCTTATTAGGTCTAAATGATAACAAACGACTAGGGCAGTCATTAGACTAATGATGACAAGAGACTAAGCCAGTTATCAGACTAGTGGTAATAAGAGACGGGGTCACTCATCATGCTAGTGATGACAAGTGAGTAGGCCAGTTATCAGGCTAGTAATAACAAACATGATTTGACAAAGGTATTTGGAACTGAATGTGTGCGTAAGTGTTTTGGATTATAAATGTCTTTTCATTTATAAAGTTATTTGCGATTATGAAATCATTTTGTTTAAAAGATTATGTGAGAGGGGTTGAGATACAATTTGTTGTATTTATGTGTGTATCAAAGTTTATTTTGTATATAAACTATGAGATTTATTTTCACGCCTTAATAGAGGTGGTTGCTATTCATGGGCTATTATACTCATCTAAACATTTAACATTTTTCAGGTGAGGATTAGGGTGAAGAGTAAGTCCATATATAGACAGAGGGGGTTAGAGGAATTGAAGATTTATTTTATTATAAGTCTTCAGGAATAAAAATTTATTATAATTTTGAGACAAATGTTTAATTATTTTGGGAACAATATTACTTATGTTTAGAATAGTGAATCTTATGATTTAATTATTGTTTTACATGAGTTTAGTAATGATATTGGTGGTATGTAGTTTATTCCTTTGATATTCATTTGGTCGATGAATTTGATCACTTTATTATTTATCTTCCGTTATATTTTGCATTTATTATACACATAGTTAGTTGGTTAAGGCCTTGGTGGTCGATTCGCCACTCACCCTATGTGATCCGGGGTGAAAGTGTGACAATCAAATCCTACTTGATAAGCGCGTGAGAGTTAGAAACGACCCTAAATAAATATGACTTACCACTGGACCTGCGATTCGGATATTTTTTTTCAGCCAGGCGTCCCTTTGTCCCTGTATTTCCTGGATAGATAAGGTTGATGGTCTTATCTCAAAAAAATGATTGGTAATTGTAAATTTTGGTTTAATTTATTTATAATTATTAATTACAAAAAAAATAAAAAGTGAAATAACAAAATAAGATAAATTTACATGTACTATTACTCAATAAAAATATATTACAATGTTAAAAAATAACCCGTTGGATTGGTCAGATGTCCTTGTCATTGGCAAGGGGTGTGTAGGCAAATCATTACAAAAAAATTAGTTTTTCCTGCCATGACCAACACGGCACCATCGTTTGTCCTTCAATTTCACATTGTAAGACCAAACCCAAATCTGTACTGTCTTTTTAGAATGGTTCCAATCAGATGCGTTTTAGACTCATAATTATAACATAGATTAATGAGATGTGTAATCACTCATAAATTATACACTTTAGTTAATAAAAACGTCACTTGTGATACTATAATTTTTTTTTTTTTGATTTAATGATTAGAAGTGTCCAAACTAATTTACACATATTTTGATAAATCTCATTATTGATCTGGTCAAAATCAGATCATCTATGTTAGGTCCGGTCACATTTTGACAAATTAGAGTAAAACTCACGACGATTAAATTTTGTTTCATTTTTGTTACTACTTAAACTTGTCTCGAAGATGATGCTAAAATCAGTAGCTCACAAATAATACCCTAGCATACTTTGCAACCATGTGTTTCTGAAAGCAATTGGGTCCAGACTTGTTCTATCATGGGAAAAGAGAAAGAAAAGAAGAAGCAGAAAAAACGTTGGCACATTATTTAGATGTACAACGTGAAATCGACTTCGACTT